TAAAGGGAAACTGACAGATTTATGATCATATATTTTAGTTAATAATAAAATATTAAATGGTTATTTATTTTGACCACATCATATTAAATTAAAAAAACATAAAAAAATTTTTTACACCAAAATAATTTAGGGGGGGGGGGCTTTAAAATATTTTACGGGGGCTGCAGCCCCCCTAAAATAGGTTTAGTGACGCCACTGCTAACACTCAAGGACACCGACCAAGCAACAAATCGAACAAACAGTTTGTAGATCTCTGAGGTTTGAACAAAACATTAATATGTCATCAGCATAGAGCAGCATTGTATTATGTTGTGTATTTGCTGTACACTGTATTGTCATCATCAGGGACCCCTCGCCCCCCCCCCCCTGAACTCCTACCCTCAGGGAGTCAACAAAGACAAGAACAGACAACAACACAGCTGTTGTTGCCCTGAACTCATCCAAACCCTGAAAATCAATATCAAAATTTCTTATCCTAAACATAACATCCAGCTTCTTTCTATTATAGTTTTATATGCTTATTTATTTTGTCTAACAGTATTTTTAAATTTCATTGTGCTTTTTGTACAACGACAAAAAAGGAATTTTGCAGATGATATGACTGTAATGGTTTATTTCAAATGTTAACATGAACGGCAAAACTGCCTGCAGAGCAAATGTTTCACTCAGTTTCTTCTACAAACACAGCTTTTTGCTGCTTTTAAGAGTTTTGTCAATTTCCAGCAGTTTTATCACAGAAAAAAGTACAGACTGAAGCATTCTTTTATTCTTCTGAAACATGACAGACGAGGCGTTTTGTTACTTGTGATAAATGTTTGTTACCAGCTGAGTTCGTTTGTGGAATCATGTGTTTCAGGTGACGAAGCCACAGAAGGTTGGAGCTGAGCTGTGAGCGTTTCTCACTCAGACATTTTACTTCTTATCAGATCGATGCTCTCATCAGCCAACTGTTTGTTCCACTGAGTTTATCCTGAGATGATTCACACTCTGTAAGTGTGTGTGTGTGGATGGGTTTTTCCTACAACGTGGGGAAAGTTTTCCCCAAAAAAAGCAGCCTTGTGGACCAATGCCTGGTTAGGTTTAGGACCAAGATTTAGGTCAGTTTTAGGGTCAGGTAAGTTAATTTTAGGGTAAATGGTCAGGGTTAGGCTATAAAGTCTAAAAAAATGAAAGGAAGTCAATGCACGGTCCCCATGGGATTGAAGCACAAACGTGTGTGTGTGTGTGTGGGCACTGCATCCTCAGAGGACTGCATCTTGTGAAGCATTTGTTTGCAGTTGCAAACCAGAGCCAGGCTGAAAAGCATCTTTGAATTAATGGCTTCCCGACCTGCTGTCTTCATTCCAGACAAAGCATCTGTTTGGTCGGAGCTCCAAACCGACAGCAAAGCTCCTGCAGTGCTTCAGCGTGGAGCTGAAGTTCACACAGAGACTGATCCATCATCCTCCTGGGATCACATGAAACCTGAGCCCAGATCAATACCACCAGATTGGCTCCTAATTGTGCATAAAAATGAAATGTTTGGGTTGAACGCTCACGGCTGATCAGCATTTATCACTCTGAGATGTAAAAGTGTTTTTAAAAAGTCATCTTCATGACAAAACGAGGCAAACAAGAGCTTAAACTGAACGTTTGAAACCAGGATATTAAAGAAAAGAAGAAGATAAAATGTTTCATGTGTTGACAGCATCATTACACGACAAAGCACCAAGTTTCACAAGCAGCAGCACAAGCCATCAAATCACAGCAGCTAACTGATTTTAGCTAACAAAAATGGCCGAAGCTGGGTCAGATTTACAGACACTGAGCTGAGGGTTGGTGTGGTAGTAGCAGAGAGTGATTCCCACGGTTTGATCAAAAGGATGGTTTCCATCCTGATCTCATTCTAAAACTCTGGCAGCATGTTGGGGTTTTATTTCTTTTTGTTTTCAGTTTTTATAAATGAATATCTTTTCATTCTTTAAACAACCAGCTGACTTTTTTCACGAGCATATTTGATAATTATTGCAGCTGACAGGAAAAGTGTTTTTTTATGCTTTGTTTGTTTTTAGTCGGAAAAACAGTGGTTTGGATTCGATAAATGTAAGAAAAAATGCTGAAGACGAAAAGCAGAAAGGAGTATACTGTCAAGTCTGGTTTCATTTTTGTGTTTACTGTTATGTTTGTTTGTTTTTTGGACATTTTAATTTGTTCTTTAAAAAAAACTAAAACGGTTGGAGAACTATAAGATTGTCTATAATGTGAAAATTTTAGTTTAATCTCTCGACAAACAAACAAGAAAAATATTAATGATAAAGGAGAAAGGATTACAACTAAAGAAGCAAAAGTCTGGTCCAAACATTTGTGACGGTTTTCCTCCTGAACAACAAAACACATATTTCAGCATGAAGCGCGGCAGGTTTCAGTTCTTTTCTGTAAACCACATTTTTTAAATAAATTATTGCAACTCTTCTGATTTTACTGAATGCTCACATCTGTGGGTGTATTTTTGATTATTAAGGTTTATTAAAGCCTTTAATAAAATCAGCCAGGTGCCAGGTAATAAAGTCTGAAGCTCAGATCTCAAAGCAAACATAAACAAATCATATTTCTCAGACAAGCTCACAGCATATTAATGAGCTGTTTTTGGTAAAACAATGGGATTTAATTGCAGTAAGGGTGCGTCTTCATCAGTGTGAAACTTGAAACTAGGTGAAGCATTGATCCATGAAGCACACGCCCAAAGAGAGCCAGATAAAAACACACGGAGCAAATAAAGACACAGATCAGTGAAACTTCTGACATCAGACAGAAATCAATCAAATCAAACTCCAGATTAAAAACAGCGCATTAAACCAACATGACATTAATATTAGGAGAAAATAACCTTATGTTAGTTTAGAGAGATGGTGAGCTGCTACAGCTGCCACACACACACGCACACACACACACACACACACACACACACACACACACACACACAGAGAGAGAGAGAGAGACACACACACACAGACTGACTTAACTGATGTGAAGTCGTGAAGCTTCTGTGTGGAAACATCCAGCATCCTGCAGCTCCTCTCTGTACCAACAAACACTCAGCGTCGCCTTAAAGCCCTGAGAGCGTGCAGCGCATCATCATCATCATCATCATCATCATCATCAGTCTAAAAGATGTTCCCACCCCATCGTGTCCTCCTCTCCTCCTCCTCTTCTTCTTCCTCACCTCAGAGCCGCTGATGTTCATCCGTCTCTCTGGAGACGAGAAGCGTCTTCAACAGCGACGCAATAAATGAGAGAGAGAGAGAGAGAGAGAGAGAGAGAGAGAGAGAGAGAG